TGGAGGGTTCCATCCCAAATCCAGCACCTTGAGACTGTACACGAGCCGCAAGGAAGGAGGCAGAGGACTAGTGAGTGTGAGAACCACTGTCCAGGACGAAACAACTAAGATCCATAAATACATCAGAGACAAAGCCTCAAACAGACAATGTGCTCAGTGAATGTCTCAGACAACAGGGAACGGAGGTTGAGGTGCCAGAGATACCATCATGGGAGGACAAACCCCTACATGGGATGTACCACCAGCAAATAACCCAAGTGGCTGATATCAGTAAATCCTACCAATGGCTGGAAAAAGCTGGACTCAAGGACAGCACAGAGGCCCTCATCCTGGCAGCCCAGGAACAGGCCCTAAACACCAGAGCAATAGAGGCCCAGATCTACCACACCAGACAAGACCCAAGGGTAGATTGTGCAAGGAGGCCCCTGAGACAGTCCAGCACATCACAGCAGGGTGCAAGATACTTGCAGGGAAAGCGTACATGGAACGACATAACCAAGTGGCAGGCATAGTGTACAGAAACATCTGTGCAGAATATGGACTGGAAACCCAAGATCAAAGTGGGAAACACCCCCAAAGGTGGTGGAGAACGCCAGAGCTAAGATCCTGTGGGACTTCCAGATCCAGACAGACAAAATGGTAATGGCGAACCAACCAGACATTGTCGTAGTGGATAAACATCAGAGGAAAGCCGTTGTGGTAGATGTAGCAATACCAAGTGATTGCAACATCAGGAAAAAGGAGCACGAGAAACTAGAGAAATACCAGGGCCTCAGGGAGGAACTGGAGAGGGCCTGGAAGGTGAAGACCACAGTGGTGCCTGTAGTCATCGGGGCCCTCGGGGCAGTAACCCCCAAACTGGAGCAGTGGCTACAACAGATCCCAGGAACAACATCAGACATCTCAGTCCAGAAATGTGCAGTCCTTGGCACAGCCAAGATACTGCGCAGAACCCTCAAGCTCCCAGGCCTCTGGTAGAGGACCCGAGCTCAGAGGATAAGAACCACCCGCGGTGGGTGAGAAGGGAATTTTTTATATATATATATATATATATATATATATATATATATATATATATATATATATATATATATATATAAGAAAAAAACATTTAAAAACAACGTAGAATTATGCAAATGCTGCCATTGAAATGAAGACTGTGTTGCTTATTAACCTGTTCACATACAGGAATTATTAAGTCAACAAAGAATTATCCCCTAATAAGATACTTTAGTAAATGCTATAAAGGTAATTTAGACTGGGCTGTTAATTCACACTAAAATTCACTGTTTGATTTGCATCAAAAGTGATTTATCCTATCTTAACATATCCTTTTTGTTTTGTTTTTGGTTTTTACTGCAAGATCTGATAAAATGACGCTAAGATGAAAGTAGGAGTATAAACAAGCGGATATATTGACATAAATCTGAGGACTTCTACATAGATGGAAACTCATTTGCAGCAGCATCTGTGCTTTTGACTGCCTTTTAGAGGTCCCACATGTATGTTTATTTAAAGCTGATAACATACAATGGAGGGATTCATTCCCCCACTTAAAGCAGCAGAAATGGCAACTGACTTTCTGCCCTACCCCCGAGAGACAGGCTGGCTGTGAAGGCTAAGCACAGAGCTATGGAGAACGTCATACAGAGTTCTCTTTGATGTAGAGCCAAAAGGTACACTTAAAAACAAACCAGTCTTTCCTAAATCTTTATTTAAAGCAGCAGCAATATTGAGCCATGATGAATCTCATGTCTCAACAGGGGGGATGATAGGAATGGATGATAGGAATGATAAATAAATATTTTACAACATATGGCTTTAAATTCCTATTCAAAAAAATTTTGTAGGGCATGTCTAATATGTGCTAGACATAAGTCTCAGGGAAACATAAGGCCCAAACGAGGCAGGTTCCCAAAAATCTTATCCATGTCAAACCATGCATATGGATTTTATTGAACTTTCACAAAGTGGGCCATATAAATATTCTCTAGTGATGATTGATGCTTTTTCTAAATGGGTTGAAATAGTTCTAGCAAAGTATGCAGATGCTTTGACAGTAGCTAAGGCTATTTGTAAAACTATTATCCCAACGTATGGCATCCCGCAAACTGTTTATAGAATGAATAGTACTGTAAAAAGCAGATTAAGAAAATGCACGACAGACTCTAGGCGTCCCTGGCCAGAATGTTTAGATTTGGTGAAACTCTATATGAGGATCACCCCGACAGCTGATGGTCTAACACCTTTTGAAATAATTCATGGGAGAGCTTACAGATTGCCTCTGTTTGCTCCAGACTTACAAAAAGTTAATGAAGAACAGACATTATATAATCAGAACCCTTAAACTGAAGGAGGTGTCCAGTGCAAATTTACTGCCTTTTGATTCTCTTCCTGCACAGGAGGCCGCTCCGATAGAGCCAGGTGACTGGGTCTACATAAAAGTCATCAAACGAAAGAACTTTGCGAGTCCACGGTGGGAAGGACCGTTCCAAGTGTTGATGACCACACCAACAGCTGTAAAGATTGCTGAAAGACCCAGCTGGATACATCTCAGTCACTGTAAGCTGCAGAGAGCGTTAAACCCCTAAAGTCGGAGTAGAGAGGAAGGAGAGCTCTTTTGAGAGCTTCCGGAGTACAAAGGGGAGCTACATTATAGTTGTAGTTCGTCTCAAACCCGGTGAAGAAACGCTAAGATTCTCACTCCTTTAGTTTGGGGGTTCTCACATCTCTGTATGCCGAGCAGCAATGGGGACTCCATATGACAGATGGATTTTCTGCTGCGCTGTGACTGTTGTATGTTTGATGTTTGGTGAAGGAAGCGAGCCTGAGTTCCACTCACATGACTACAGTACCAATCTTTGGCTGAAAACTGATGAACAGAACTGCTTATGAGGGACATGCTGTGAACTGTTACTTGTGTGCGCAGCCGGCAGTTTCCATACACAACTCAGGTCTCCGACCAGGTAACATTGCTGACGACAAACAGATGTGTCTCTATGTTCTAAGCACTAGACCGCGGCATATCCCACCACCAAGGGGAGACAGACTACGTGAGAAGGACTATTCAGCTAACCTCCGGATGGGAGAGGCTGTGCAAGGATTGTTTCAATTTTTAAATTGTTCACTGGCAGACGATGTACTTCCTTTTCGTCATCTCAACAAACTGTATGGAATCTACCAGAGATCATTTCGTTGGCAGGAGCCAAACCAGGCTCTGAGGAACTGTGTTTATAATAATGGACATGTTGTTCTAGGGACGTTGCCCTGGCACTTGTGTAACAGAGTTTACACCTACTGCGAACCGACACAGGATTTCATCGACTGCACAGCCTGCAGGGGTCAAAGGGCGACTCCTCACTGCAAAGTCTGGAAAGAAAACCCAGATTGTGACAACCTGCTTCAGGAGAGGAGTTTCAACATCACGCGTAAGACTAAGAAGAAACAAATGACAACACTGTGCAGCGCCATAGTGCCAGGAGATTATGGCTCTTGGATGTTAGCAGACTGAAAAGCACAAAATGATCCAAGCGATCAGCTATGCCAGAGGTCAAAAGATGGGGAGGCCTAACAACACATACTGGAGTTCCATGGGAATTCAGGATTTGGACCGTGGGTTGGTCTAGGAGAGATGCGAGACCATGTTTTGAGATAAACAGGTACGGATTATTACGACTAATCAACATCACATACCAGCTGGCCAATGGCACCATGAAAGAACTGACTGAACTGAGAACGTGGTTATGCAAAACCGTGGTGGTCTTTGCTGTTAAAGCTCGTGACACCTATTCTGATTATGTTAATTCTGTTCTGTCTTTTTACGGGTTGCATTATTCCTTGTCTACAAAATATGATGTTTAAAACAATTAACGCGACTGTTATCAACTATCAGCTGACAAAGGCAACTGAAGATGACTTGTTCCAAGTTTCTGACGATTATCTGAACAATGATGAATTTCTGTAATCAATAAACAGATGAATTCATTTGCTGAATGACTCCTACACCGAAAATGTGAAAAGTGTTTAGGATGAGAAAACTGCATTTGATTTTTACTGTTTATTCTTTTGTTTTTTCATGTATTTCATTATATTACTTTTATTCATTATGTATTTTCTGTGTTTAGATTAGTTTTTTATTATTTTCTTTTCTATGTTTGGCTTCTGCATAAAAGTTTATACACATAGTAAAATGATAAAAAGGGGGGATGTTAGATATTTTTTAGTATTATCATTTTGTTCATTTTGTTATTACTTTAGTTTATATTCAGTCTAATGTTAATCAGTATTATTGTGATTTTTAGTTTAAAGTGTCCTCTTCTTTATGTGTGTATAAACTGACCTGGAGGTTACGACTGTCTTCATGCGAGGTAGTAAAACTTTGTGGCTCTCAGACCTTGAATTCTTCTGGTCTTTATCTACTCAGTCTTAGGTGACAGTTTGACCTAGAGCTGAACTGGGCTCAGATTGTAAATTAGATATCACACCTGGAACTGAGTTGAATGGGTTGTTTTGTGTTAAGTGTTTTACGACCTCTGTTGTTTCCTGACTGCCCCATGTGACTGTTTTTCTTTGACAATAAAGAGGCAGCTCACGTGAAAGCAGATCAGAACGCTCTGTGAACAACTTGAAGACAGTTGTTGGTGGAGACTTCTCATTCTGCAGAAGCCTGACCATATTTAATTCATATACGTTGTCTGTGGTTATTTTATTGTAGGTTCGAGGAAAATACCTAACAGCCATTGTCCCATCTAGTCACCAAAAACCCAAAATACACATATTTGGTCTTATAGAGACCAATAAAGTCCATGATACAAAGTTCCTAAGTTGATTATTGGACCATGTAAGCATGGAGACATCAATGTATTGATGTGACAAGTTAAAAGAAAATAACCTGATATTCAGTCCAATGTTTTCATGACAACAGAACCCAACAGAACTTATCATCACATGGCCACAATAACAGATATAAACAGAAGTTACAGCAGTTAGAAACAACTCACCTCTCTGATGATGGAGATCCAGCAGATTGAAAGTTAATGATATGATCCTTTGACCTGTCGCTCTTAAAGGACACACAGCTGGGTTCTGGTTCTGGTTCTGGTTTTATTTGCTGATGGATCCTGATAGAAAAACATCTATAAACTTTTTGTGAAGGTTTAGTTTAAACATCATTTTTATTTTGACTTCTTGTAAAATAAAGAGATTTGAGACACAACAGAACTTCATCAACTTCATGGTCTAATTGATTCCTATCAGAACCGGTCCAATCCTCCAACACGTTCCTGATCATTGACCCTCCTGTCGGGTGTTGGAGCTAGGCTTGGTGGGGAACCTTTTTCTTTTCCACCAGATGGAGCCAGAGGTTGGCAGTCGTTGGAGGGTGGATCTTTGTTCTTTCCATTTTATATTTTAGAGGTTAAAGCAGAAAAGTGAGTTTATTCTGGTTGGATATTTTGTTTCCTGTTATTCATCAGCAGTAATGATTTAGTTCTGGCCTCTAGAGAGGATTATCACTACATGAATGATTGTTTATTTGATATCAAGGAAAACATCTGGAAATCAGATGGGATTTCTAGACCTATGTTAACTAGATGGACCTGGAAAAACTATGGATAGAGACTGTGGATCTAGACGGACCTGATTAATACTCCAAAGATCTTTCATTAATTTACCAACAATCTAGTCGGACTTCATTGTAGCGATTGGTAGCCAGGATGAAACTGGCTGTAGTAATAGTTAATTGTTGATCCATTGCTGCTTTGTTAAGACTTGCTGAGTGGCTAATTTTATACCTGTTGATTGCATGTAAAGCAATCCCAGAGATCTTCTTTCTTGTCCAAGTTTGTTCCAGTCAGATGAATCATTTGTGAACAAAATCCATTCATTCCACGATATACGGCAACAGCGTTAACAATGATTCTGCCACAGCAGTCAATAAGGCTTTTCGTTCATATACTGGAGGGCATTGTCCAATCTAGTCACGAAAAACCCAAAATACACATATTTGACTCTTATAGAGACCAATGATGTCCATGATACAAAGTTCCTAAGTTGATTATTGGACCATGTAAACATGGAGACATCAATGTATTGATGTGACATATTAAAAGATAATAACTTGGTATTCAGTCTAATGTTCCCATTACAGCAGAACCCAACAGAACTTATCATCACATGGCCACAATAACAGATATAAACAGAAGTTACAGCAATTAGAAACAGCTCACCTCTCTGATGATGGAGATCCAGGAGATTTAAATTCAATGATCACATCCTTTGACCAGATACTCTTAAAGGACACACAGCTGGGTTCTGGTTCTGGTTTGAGTCTCTGATGGATCCTGACAGAAACATGATGATTAAAACTTAATCAGCAAAGAGGAGCAGCAGCAGCTTCATCACCACGTCTGTTCTGGCCTGATATAGTGAACGCTGTGTGAAAAGGGCTGTGGACAGTTAGAGATGGTGACCTCACCTCTGACCTTTGCTCTGGCTCTCATCTTTTCCACACAGAGTGGTTTTAGAGGGAGGGACTCCCTCCTCTCTGTCCTCACACTGATCCATGCTGCTGAATCCACATCAGCTCACACACACTTTCTAGCTTCACCTGCAGAGGAAACACACATCATTCATCTGCACATCAACTCTGATCATCCTTTACATCATTAGTGCTGGAAAAAGATCAGCTGCTCCTCCTCTGATTGGCTCTTCTTCTCTGCTTCATATCAGTGTCAGGTGAATGCAGTCAGACAGCAGAGAGGCAGAGGAAGCTGCCATCAGCTGCTGCACTTCTACTATCAGTCCACTAGATGGAGACATGGAGCAACATTTACATTCACTGATTCAACCTGAAGAACAGGAAGGATTTTAGTTTACAATTATTAATTTCTAGAAGTGGAAAATCTGCTCGATCACATATTACTGTTAGATTTTTATTTAAATACAAATATAAATAGAGACCATAAGCGTTGAGAAACCTTTGTTTGCCCCTGGGATCTGTGTTTCTTTCATTTTTGAAGGAAGCAATGAGTTTGTCACTTTGGAGATGGATGGCCAGGGTGACAGTGAGCCTGGTAGGAAGAATGGGTTGTTTGCATACAAGCCAGAGTCTCGGGAACTGAACTTTATGACCCCAGAGGAGGACGGGAACTGAACCAGAGAATCCTGGGATGGAGCAGGAGGCCTGCAGTCACAATTGCCCTGACAGGAGGACAAGGTGAACACAGATGCCAACCAGGGAAAGAGGTGATACCGAGCAGGAGAGTGGATCAAAGGCCGATGTCCCAAGAAACTCTAGTTTTATGGTCCAGAGAGACAACAAAAAACTGTAACATCAGGAGTTACAAAGACAGTACCTTGAGATTGTGTATTGTGTTTGCCACTCCTTCTATGCAAATGTTTGAAATTAAGCTACGCCTCAATGTCATAAAATATGCAGTTTCAGAGAAGCATGTTAGAACTTGTCCGAAGACAGAGACAAAGGAATGTCTCTGGGCAGAGTTCTCCGTTTCAAGTGGAAGATTGCATAAGAAAATTTAAAGTCTCCCTGCGTCCTTATTAATGTTCAGCAAGAGTGTTTGGTAAAGATCCAAAAATTACGTATTTAATAATGTGACTGAATTGAACTATTTCAACAGTACTATTTTATAATAATTAGAATAATAATATCATACATTAAAATGTTTGATTTAAAAGAAGCAACAAGACACTGTTGTTTCTGAGTTTAACAGTGGAAACCAGAGTTTGATTCCAGGAAATGAAATGATGAATCTGTTTGTTCAGAGATGAAAACAAAGAATCATCAGCTGTTCATCATTCCAGTTCTAAATAATCTAATAATCTTCCAGATTAACCTTCAAACAGCAGAGAAATGAAAACTTTAACTAAAATCAGAAGTGAACATGTTCTCTAAACATCAGAGAGCAAAAACTAGCAGGAAAGTTCATAAAGTCGAAGTTTAAGTAGGATAAAAAATAAAACTTACAATTTGTTCAAACGATTCAAAGGGTTGATGAAGAAAATCTGGACAACAAATGTTCCACACCTTAAACGGTGGATTCAAACTGAAAGTAAATGTGACAGATGTTGCAGACTTCTTACCTGATTTGTAGTTTCTTCTGTCAGAGCCAAGCTCCGCCCCTTTCTGTTTGCTGCAGCGAGGCGAGGTCTTCTCACTCTGAAACAATATCTCTTGTATCTAATCAGATGCTCTGTGCTAGAATTCTAGTATTTTAATATATTTATTGTTTTGTCTTAAAACGTTACATTTTCATAACATTTTATATTTCGTTTGTGTCAAATGAAAACCTGCTAATTTTTTTTTTATTTTTTCAATTGATTGTTCAATTACTTTTGCTTTACTTTTTACTTTTTGTTGCCGTTGCTGATCCAAAACATTTTTATAATGCAAAACAAAGTAAGTGACAGTAAATAAAATTCTATTTAAAACAATTACATCTACATACTTCAATTTTTTCTCTGCTGTACTAAAAAAATCACAGATTACCTTCACAGGTAATTGTCAGTTACATCAAGTACAAATAAAAACTGATCTTTGGAGTTTAAAAACAATATTTTTAAATCATTAGTACAACAGATGTATTGCAACGCTTTACAGAAACTCATTTCTGTCGATCTAGTGAAAGTAAAGCCTTTTATCTCATAATTATGGCTCAATCGGCTAAATCATTATTATGACTCATATTAGCAAAGTTTTAGTGGAGATGTGGAACTGGGATACAAGTTTTGTTTTTTTCAATCAAATGGGATCCATAAATTTTAAACAGTTGCAGAAAAAAACAAGACACTGTAAAGAAGCATCAAAAGTCTGTTGTGTGGTGAATAAAAATCATATTCATGTCGAGGAAGTGAAGGTTGTCTGTTTCTGGTGAACTCTGAAGAACCTTAGATAATATCAGTTAAAACATTTAATTTCCCTTTGGGATAAAAACGTTATTTTTATTGAATTTGTGTCAATTAATCTCAGTATAAACTATAAAATGTCTTCCCTGCAGGCATGTTGGATTAGACACGTCTCCATTTAAACAATTTCCAGATATAATCTCAAACTGAAACAAGTAAACAAGCAAAGTTTTTCATTTTTCCTGTATTTTTTTCTGCTTGCATTTTTTCTACTAGCAGCATTAAAATAAAGAGACAGAAAGAGAAACTTTATTAGAGCATAAATTTGACTTATTTTTTGCTTCCTCAGAGGTTTTCAGGTCTTCAGGTTTTCAGGTCTTCAGGTCTTCAGGTTTTCAGGTTTTCAGGTCTTCAGGTTTTCAGGTTTTCAGGTTTTCAGGTCTTCAGGTTTTCAGGTCTTCAGGTCTTCAGGTTTCAGCTTTTCAGGTCTTCAGGTCTTCAGGTCTTCAGGTTTTCAGGTTTTCAGGTCTTCAGGTCTTCAGGTTTTTCAGGTTTTCAGGTCTTCAGCTTTTCAGGTCTTCAGGTCTTCAGGTCTTAAGGTCTTAAAGTCTTCAGGTTTTCAGGTCTTCAGGTCTTCAGGTTTTCAGGTCTTCAGGTTTTCAGGTCTTCAGGTCTTCAGGTTTTCAAGTTTTCAGGTTTTCAGGTCTTCAGCTTTTCAGGTCTTCAGGTCTTCAGGTCTTAAGGTCTTAAAGTCTTCAGGTTTTCAGGTCTTCAGGTCTTCAGGTTTTCAGGTTTTCAGGTTTTCAGGTCGTCAGGTTTTCAGTTCTTCAGGTTTTCAGGTCTTCAGGTTTTCAGGTCTTGAGGTCTTCAGGTCTTCAGGTTTTCAGCTTTTCAGGTCCTCAGGTTTTCAGGTCTTCAGGTTTTCAGTACGGTCCGCACAAAGCCAGCAGGACTTTCTGATAATGTCCTTTGGTGTCGTTCTGTTAAAACAAAAATAAAAAATCATTATTGATGTGGTTTGAAACGTAAACATAGAAACAGTTTGGGAAACGTATTTTACCACGATGTCCTCATGGAGGGTTCTGTCAAACATTGCCCGGTACTCCTCTACGACCTTCTGCAGGTCGACCTCGGAGCGGCTCACCAGGATCCGGATCAGAGTCTGATCCCTCGTACCGTGGCCCTGGTAAGGCACAAAATGGACCACATGATGTTTGAGTTGGACATTTTGATTCCTTTTCATGGATCTTAGTTTGGT